GAAGGGTGGAGGGGGTGAAGGGAGGGCTAGGAATGGGGAAAAATAAGAATCAAGATGCATCATGTAAAGGTACAATTCCCAATGAGAAATGTAATTGTGTTGTATATGTAAAATGTACCAATAAAAGAATTTAACAAAAAAAAAAGATTAACAGTGTTGAAGAAATATAAATGAAATATCTGAAAATCTAATACTAAAAACGTAGCAGGTATATTTACATCAGTGAAGAAGTGGATTCTTCTATTACGTTTCTCTCCAGCAGACTAAGTTTTCCAATAAAATGTGTAGGCTTTCTTCATCTTATAAAAATAAAGACTGGGCTGGGGATTTAGCTCAGTGGTTCTGCTGCCTGCCCACAAGCGCCCGGACCCAAGTTCAATCCCTGGTAACAAAATAATAATAATAATAATAATAATAATAATAATAATAATAATGACTGAATTTTTTTCAGATATTTTAAAAGCATAGGGAGTAGATGGAGAGCATTTACTTATTGATAAAGTGGTCTGCTCAGTTATAACACCGCAAATGACCTCTTAACGTGGCTTTTAGCATATATATTTTTTAATGTTATTCAATATATATTTAAGCTTGTTGTTTATTAAAATAAATGTAAAGCTTCTTACTTTTTCATTAAACTAAAAGCAGGTTTTCTTGGAAAAGAATTTATTTCAGTAAAATTAGCCTTTAGGCAAATTTCTTCTAAATCTGTCTTCTTGTTCACAATTCTTAAATAAAACTTTACATTCCTCTGAGCAAGAAAATGATAACTTATTATAACAAATCACATTTAAGAATGTTTCTTTTTAATTTTCATAATTTTTAAACCAACAGCAAGACACAAAAACAGCAAGTACAATTAACTACACAGAAAATAACTATATGAAATTACCTGACCTTCAGGCAAACAGATACAATACCAGATCTTAATATGACTTTCTGCTAATGGTTATCAACCAACTTTTTCCAATATCACCAAAGCTTTCAGTAGCCTCAATCCATCGTAAGAGCCTAAATATTCCAGGTTCCCCAGTCTTTTGAACTTAACATGCTTGGTTGTCAGTGATTTACCCAAGAATATGTAAAAAGTCTGATGCAGTAGCTTTGAAGACAGGAGAAAATATTGAAGCAACACTGGGACCTATGAGGTAGTAACTGTGACTGATGACACTTTCTCTCACCCATATATTTAGATATTGCTATCTAAAAGAATAGGTTAGAATTGTCATGATCTTCTTCATTCATTTATTCTTATTTGGAGGGATTTAGTTTTGATATTAAAAGGTGAGAAATCATAAGGAAGCCATCCTGTTAAAAGTCTTCAGTAAGTCTTTCAAACACATGAAAACATGTTCTCTTCACTTGAGTCCAGTTTACTGTTTGAAGTTTACAGCCAAAGACCACAGACTCCCTGTTTGACTCAGACTTTCTGTCAACTACCTCTAGAAAGTGTTTTGTATACTGGACATACTATCACCTTCATGAGAAATAATCATCCCACAACTCCCAGTTGGTGGCTAACTCCTTTCCATCTAGCCAGTTCAAATCACAAATGTTAAAATGCATATCAATAAATTTTCCTCCAACAATTTCACATGAACAAATCCCATAACAAAATAAACTTCTGTGCTAATGCATCCAAAAATAGTTAAATTAATAATATCTTACAATCTATCATTACACTTTCCACATAAAAATCATCAATTCATCATGACCTACATTTTATCTCAACTTAAATTTTATTCTGATTTACTATATTTATTTCATTTAATAAGTATAATTTAAAAAATTAATCAGCTTTGTGTTACGTACATAAAGCAAATTATTTAAATTGACTGACATTAATATGCTTATTAAAAAGGAATACAAACAGAAGTTATAGTCTGTGTTAAACAAAAGCAATATATTTGTTTGAAAAGCAGATATTTTCATTCTATTCGCATACAGAATAGCTAATGCTTTACAAATGGGAAAATAAATTAAGATATTTTATTATAGCAATAAGGAATTTTATAGATGACTAACATAAGAAAAAGATCATGTATTTTTCAGTGTGTCTTACAGTTTTATAACTTATTCATTTTATTTCTGAACATATTGTTTGAGTTAAGGTTGAGTTCTGGTCTTAGCTGACCCTTAAACATCCAATTAATATTTCCCAGGCAATTATTTATCAGATTTGCCTGCACTCTGATATACTGAGCTGGTATTCTCATGAAAACCACAATCGATTGCAAAGGGAAAACTTAGATAAATATTTATTTAAATTTTATTTTAAAAAAATAAATCTATAGCTTAAGGAAACGTGATTTTATGCTATAGACTTCTTTTCATAAAATCTAACACTTCTGATTGTTCACACTAAACTAAAACTGTGGACCGTAGTGGGGAACCTAGAAGAGGCCTGTGAGGATTAAGACCCATTTCAATAATGTAACAGATTCTCTAGTCCAACTCAATTATAGGCCCATGATGACCCCAGAAACAAGGTACAATGTTTAAAAAAGATAAAACTTCATGTTATACTAGAATACTATGCAAATATAAGGAAATAATCCTAGTCAAGTTCACCAGTTTGGTATCATAGACAATTACTGACACAAGGCTGGTTGTTAGCTTCAGAAACCATGGCACATTTACCTTGAAAAGCAGCTGCATTTCGAGATATGAGCAGCTTTAAGGTAGAGCTGGATGTCTGAAGCACCTGCTGCAGATCTTGGCGAGCTGCAATTTGATATCTCTCCTCCATCTTCCTGGTGCAACATGTTGGTTTTTTGGATATGCAAACCTGAAGATCAGGTCCTGGAACACATACGATATTTTTAGAATGATTATCTATCCATTTAACAATATACATGTTACATATGAGGTGTTATAACCAGCCCTGAACACAAGGGGCCTTGTGCTCTATGTGAGGAATTGGTTTACCAGAACACTTGCTATAAGAAAATGTCTCTATCATCCCTTAATAAACCATGAACAAAATAGTGTAAACTACAAACTCTTTGTTCAAGAATTTGACGCCAAGAGGAAAACCCTGATGAAGCACTATGGTGTGAACACCAAGGCTATCCAAAGCTACCCAGATACATAATGCTCATGACAAGTGTATTTACAGGGTCCAATACAGTTATTCCTTTCTTTCACAATACAAAGAAATGTTGTGGCCCTTGGTGTATAGGAAGCTTTACAGCTGCCACATTCGCTAATTTATTTCAACAAAAATAAAATATGCACATGGTGCGCACACACAAATACATACATATAACATCCACCTTTCTAGCTCCTCCTACTTGTTCACATACACAGAGTCTGCCTCAGATCTTACCCTTCCAAAAATTGGCTCTGTATAAGATGAAAATATCTGAAATCACTCTGAGCCACCTGTCAACACGGGACATCAACATTTCTAATAATTATGGCTTTAGTTTGTTTAAGTTAAACAACAAAAGACAGCATTTGAGCATTTTACAAAGGCTAAGAAGCATAATATAATTATATGTCACAGTAGGTAACACGTTGGCAATTGTTTTGCTTTTATCTTACCTAACATTTTAGGAAAAAAAATTACTTCAAATAGTAAAATTGATTGAAAGGAAACAATGCTATCATCTCAGCTTTTCTCCTAAGTGAAATGATTGGAGAATAATTATTCAGAGAAGCACAGTAATAAGAGTTTGGAGAAAAGAAGCAATGAAAAAATATTGAAGTATATGAACCTGTTTAGTGTAGGAATGACTATTAGGGAATTTTAAAACAACAATAATGATAATAGATCATAGAAAGCATGTCTCTGGAATTCCAATATCTAATACTACTTTACTAGATCACATTAGATCACGTTCCTAAGCATAGCTTTTAAATGTTCCCCAAACTGTGCCCTTTCCTTCCCCCCCTCCCCTCCAGCCTAATCTCTAGTAACATAGACCATTGTACCCTTCCCTTCACACTCTGCTCTTATTTCTGTTCCTCACATCCACCGGACTCCTAACCATTCTCCCTGTGTCTCCCTCTTTCTGGGACACCCTTCTCCTAAACGTGATCACCCACATCTTCAGCAAATACAAAACTTCACCTCATTCTTACCCACTTTTCTTTAGATCTTTACTTACTCCTCTCAAGGGAAACATTCCACAACTCTTCCAAACAACTCAAGTCCTTACATCCTACTGTTGGAGAGGCACATGTCTCTCCACTGCACTTATCATGTGAGCAGCTTTTATGTGATTATCAATTGATTAGCTCTCCCACCAATACTGTTAAGCCCCAAGTGTGGGGAGTGGTCTTTGTTATTATACCCTAATTGTCTGGGCTATTACAGAGTATATCAAATACTCAATAATGCCTTATCTCTTTTAATATTCATAGCAACCCTGTAATAGATACCATTACTGCCATATTTGCCACATGAGGAAACCTAAGTATAAAGAGGATAAATACTGCCAACAACACAAAAGAATGGTAGCCCAGCAATTTAGAAAGAAGCAAATTCCCAAGATATGTTCTTTGGCATTACTTTGCTGAGAAAAAAAAACTCTTAAATCTATAAATAGTTTCTTCATAACTAGAGATTTCTTATTTCCGCTTTGAAAGAAGATATCTCTATGGAAAGTCGCAAGAGAATAAATTTTAGGTTAGAAACTACTCAAGGAGATCTATTCAAAATTAAATAGGCTAAAATATAAAGTTATAGAGTTGCCATTTGCCTCTTGTCCCATTTTTCAAAGTTAGAACATACACTTAGAAAAATGCTACAAATTCCTTCTACTGCTATGCTAAACATACTGTGGGGGGCCATTTTGTCTCAGCAACTCTGGGTAAGCATGGATAGCAATTTAGACCTCTCAGTGAAAATACAGACCTCAAGTTGAGGAGGGTCTACACTGATTAATTTAGACTTTCATTCTGAATCTTAGAAGTTTGTAATGACAGCATGAAACTAAATTTCAACCCAAATCAGAGCTCTAATACTATAATTCAAAAATCAACTTATTTCTAAATGGCACATTATTTTCATTAGTGTCACCTATAAGATAAGCTTAAATAACTTGGAATGGGAGTCCCAGTAGAGGAGGAATAGAGTTGAAAAAAAATAAAAAGCATTCTCTTTCTTTCTAGATGAGTCGAAGAGCCAGGTAAAATGCACTAAAGGAAATCCTCAGGGAAAAGACCGCCGCATCTTACGTGTTGTTCACATTATGTACAAAGAGCATAGGAAGATGCTTGTTGATTAAAAAGTCCGGAAAACAGTTCTTCCATTGTAAATAAAACAGGCATCATAAGAAAGCAAAGGTGGAGCAAACTCAAGTATATATGACATGGTAACAAGAGAAATTCTTAAAAGACTTCAAAGGCTGGCTACAAAGAACATGGCATAATCACAGAATGCTATGAAACAACAAGAATACTCAGGCTCCAGAACAGCAGTCATGTTTCTGAACAGTGAAACCAAACTCTGCTGGAAATACTAAACACAAAACAAATTAAAAATAAATTGAAGGAGCCTTTAAACAGACTAGTGGGTGCTTTTCTGGATTCCTCACCAGTAGCAGCAGTATTATTTAATAAGTGTTCCTTTCAGTTCAGCAGCATAAGAAACCACTGTAGCCATCAACTTGCTTGTATATTTGTTACGTATGTTAATTTGGGATCCTCAGGAAGCACTGTGGAAAGACAGTGGCAGTATATCATGATTTTCACTATCTCCGAATCTTAGACAAAATCAGACAGAGCTTGAAAACACATCCAAAATCAACAACCACAAAACTAGATACCACCATACAAACTTCAAAACACACACAAAAAAAATAAAAACAAACTTTAAAACACAAATAGAATGAGACAAACTCCAACAGCCATGAGATCTTCAGTGTCAAGAGTATGGGCAGCAAGGAGGAGGAAGCAACTGAGACAGATCTAAACACCTGACGACAGCAGAACCCAAAGGGGCAAACAACACACAGGACGGCACTGCAGACCAGCAGCTGAGCTGGAAGAGTTCTGCCCTGTCATTTATCATGCGGGATGGAGCTTTAACAGAACAGAATGTGGGAACAAGAGCAGACCCCCTATCAGTCCAAGCCAGAAGGGCTCCTTTCTGGAACACAACCCCCGCGCAGAAGAGAAACTTCTGGAAATGGAGTGAAATGTCAACGGAAAAGGGAACCCACACATGTAGAAAGAGAAGGTGCAGACCAGAGGGGGATAAATCCAAGAAATATCAGAAGATGTGCAGCTGTATTTCTAAATGCTACACCAAAGCAACAGAACAATTAGCTCCATGAAGTTCGAAAAGCTATTCTGAAGCCTGTTTCAATCAAAACATTCAGGAAAAAAAAAATAACTTTACCTAAAACAAACAATAAAAAATGAGATTGAATCTGACATGGAGTCATAACATGAAGAGAGAGTAAGGAAAAGAATCGCAAAGAAAACATGACAGAAAGACATGCTTCAAAACAAAATCAAATCCAGAATTCAGCTATACTATTTGAAGATTCAACTAGAAGGTATACAAGAACTAATTACACAAAGGTCACATAACTGAAAAAAATTAAGAAAGAATGGAAGGATTTGAAAGACAATGAAAAAAATATTGAAGACAAGTACAAATAACCTGTGCTCCTAGAAAAGGATAAGAAGGAAATAAGATGCTAAAGACTGTATTTCTTATTATTCTAAACTCTTGTAAGTGTAATATGGAAAACACAGTTAAGTAATTGTGAAGTAGTCAAATTCTAGTCTCTAATTCTATCCAGTATCCTTACAAATCAAAAATTTTAGTGTGTGAGAAAAGAGATACAGATGTAATATAGACACGGTCAAGTAAAACTCTGTAATCTAGAGTTGGAACTGGAATTACAAATGTGAAGTCATAAAGAATTTCACCTTTAAAAAGTACTCACTGAAAAGGCCAAGAAACAATGAAGCGAATCAGAGGCCTTCCCCTGTGCCTAGATTATGGTCTTGAAATATCATTTCTCTCAAGAAGTAATCAGTGCTTCTAGATTTGAGACAGGAAATATATAAGATGGGAGATGCTAAAATCCCTTGTCCATCAGAGAGCAAAGATGTAATCAAGTAACTATGTCCTTTAAGAGAACTCAGGAGGTGTATGAGTCTGCTAGGGCTCATGTAACAAAATACCACAAACTGGTACCTTAAACACAATAGATACATTTTCTCACAGTTCTGGAGACTGAAACTCCATGATCAAGGCTCGGGTGAGCTGGTCTCTTCCTGGGTTGTAGATGATCATCTTCTCCCTGGTCTGTCACTTGCACTCCTGGTGCCCTTTCCTTTTCTTATGAGGACAATAGTCATACTGGATTAAGGCCCACTGAACCCTAATTATCCCCTAAAAAGTCCCTATTGACAATTAGTCATTAGGGGGTTAGAATTCTAACATATGAATTTTGGAGAAACACAGTTCTGTCCATAACAGAAGCCCAGCTTCAAAAGGTTCCAGGGGACCAAACATGGAACAACCTGAACTTCAACAATAATTGAAATGGATCACAACCAATCAAATGTACTTAAATCCATGGGATGTAATGATGGTTATTCAAATGAATTTTTCACCTTCAGAAAATTAAAGAAAAAGAGATCAATTGCTCTGAAAATTGGTAAATAAGAAGGGAGACGCATGGTTCGGCCACCTGTCTCAAAAGTGCAAGGCCCCGAGTTCGATCCCCATACCAAAACAAAAAGGGAGACGCAAACACTTACCATATTTTTCATATATAAACCATACCCATAAATATAAATTATAGATGAGTAAAGCCTCCCTTTAAAGGAAATAA